ATGACGGCTGTGGCGGTGACAGTCGTAGCCATGAAGAGCGACCAAAGGAAAACAGAAAACCGCAGCGTTTCTGGTCTGCAGAGCCAGTGGCCTAAGCTCATGGCAGCTGCACTTATGATAAGCTAGTGAGCACCCAGGACAGAAAAGGACACAAGGAGGAGCCTCAAATCCTGCAACCAAACTCTGCCCAAATTAGATCATCCGAACTTCAGCCTTCGATGACAGAAGCCCTCGTCTGCACATCTTCCCAGCGAAATGGAAAATGAGCACTCTAGTACAAAAACTAAGTGAGCCAGACTTCCAGCCACCGAGCTGAGCTCTTTCCCCGACTCTGACTCTCCACCATTCCCAGCTGTCCCAATTTTAACTCTAAGAGTGGAATACTAAGGTATTTTTAAAACAAGCTTCCAATTTCTCATCAAAGATGCAGTTGAAAAAACAATAGTTTCTTGTTGAGCCACGGACTGAGCAAAACTTGCTTCTGCAAAGGACAGAAAATGTAGAGGATTTCTGCAATTCGAAGAACAAGACAGTGCAATACAAACTTGAAAAACAGTTGAACAGGCGTTTCCCAAAGGACATTACACAGATATCCAATAAGTACATGAATGAATGTCCAATGCCATTCATATTAGCTAAGAAGGCCATGATGAGGGCAACTGATACAATGTGCCTATGCAATGTGGATTAGAAAAAGTGTATCAATGTGAAATTTCTTAATTTCATTATACTGTAGTTACATATGAGAATATCCTTGTCTTTACAGAATAGATATTGAAATAGGCATATCATACTTAACAGGTTGTGGAAAAGTGTATTTACACCTTCTCTACATGCTATTCTCTCTCTCTCTCTCTCCCCCCCTCCCTCCCTCTCTCCCTCCCTCCTTCCCTCCCTTCTCTCTCTGTCTCTCTCTCTCAGTAAGATGATAAAGCAAATGGGGCAAGATGCAAATCATTGCTGAGTCTGGTTAAGAAGTATAGAGGAGTTTCATTTTCTATTCTTGTAAGTTTTCTTTAAGTTTAAAATTATACAGAAAAGAAATTACAAAACATCCAAAACACTAAAAAAAAAGAACTGAAGTTTTCAAGGACCAATTGGGTCCTGTCCACAGAACAAAACAGTAGCATGAAGAAGCTACCACTGGCCAAAATTGTGTCTTTCTGTGCATCATAAAGGAAAGCTATTGGAGTGGATTGAAACCCACTGACTCAGTGAACATCTACGAGTAGACGGTGATTAAGCGAAAAAGACAGACCCAGAACAAAGGGACTTGCCACCTTTGAAGCATCTGCTAAACTAACACCTTGCTTATAAAATTGGTAATTCAAGGGTCAGAATTAAAGTCTTTATCCCTTTGTTCTAGGAGGAGCTGCATTTCATGGGAACCAAATAAATCCATGATTTACAGCCTAATAAAGTCAGGAGGAACAATAGAGTTGGAAAAACACCATCTCGCAAACCACACTTCTAGTGGGCTGAGTGATGACCCCAAAGATAGCAGGCCCTAATCGTTGTTGGGGTTAGCCGCTAACAGTGGATCAACAAGATAGGCCATGCCTCCCGCTGCCGCTGCCGTGAAGGAGGAAATCTGTAGCACCAAAAATGTGAATTCCAGCTAAGAACATTACGTGAATGCACCAGACCTTTAGCTCTAGGTTCCTTGGCAGTAAGAAGTACCCAAAGCTTGAAGAGCAAGAGAGCCCAGACAAACCCAGGAGATGAGATATTCTGCCAGGCAGCCTGCCCAGTCCCTTCAAAGCCAGCAACATGGAAGGCACTGCGCTGGATGAAAAGAATGAGGCGCAGGGATTTCCACAAAACTCCCCAGCCTCCAGCTTCAGACTCCACACAGGCACAAGCCCCTTCCAAGGTCCAGACATGGTGTCCACGTGTCCCTGTGTTTTGTCTATTTTGCAGAAGTGAAGATTTTAACCATAATCGTGCCTCTGCCACTTTCCCCTCTGATTTCAATCAGACATGTGTCCCCTCATGTAGAATGGCATTGAAATGGCCACAGGCACTTTTAGGATCTGTTTCAGGGGGCACTGATTAAATTGAGTCAGGGGTAGCTGTGGTGGTTTGGGTTCTGGGGAGTATTTGTATATGCCACTGGTTTGCGGTAATTTTCATATGTCGTACAGTTACTGCTACCTGCCCTGGAGTAGTGTCACTCCCAGAAACACTTCTACCACCATTTTGCTACTTACCTAGACTCGAGACATGTAAGTGCAGGGTCAAAGGTCAATCCTAGTATGAAGCTGTCCTCCAGCTCCAGCGCCATTGCACATGGCGTAGAAGAAACCAGGTTGAAGTGCACCGAGTCAGAAGCTTGCCCATGGAGATTATCTCAATCATCAGACGTGGAAAACCGTAAGAGTGGGCATCGCTGATGCCTGCTTCTAACCAGAATATCTGTCAGGAGTATAATGATATATTGTATACCTTTTTTTGTTTTTTGAGACTGAGTCTCAACTCTATTGTCCAGGCTGGAGTGCAGTAGTGTGATCATGGCTCACTGCTGCCTCAACCTCCTGGGCTCAGGTGATCATCCTGCCTCAGCCTCCTGAGTAGCTGGGATGCCAGGCTAATTTTTGTATTTGTTGTAGAGATGGGGTCTTGCTATGTTGCCTAGCTGGTCTTGCACTCCTGGGTTCAAGCAGTTCTCCACCTCGGCCTCCCACAGTGCTAGGATTACAGAAGTAAACTACTGCAACTACCTATCATATATACTTTTTTTTTTTTTTTTTTTTTTTTTTACAGATTTTTGCTTTTTCCTTTACAAAGACTTTTTTTTTTTAAGATAATTTCCTTTTTCTATTTTTTTTTTTTTTTTTTTTTTTTGAGACCAAGTCTTGGTCTGTCACCCTGGCTAAAGTGCAGTAGCACAATCTTAACTCATTGCAACCTCCGCCTCCTGGGTTCAAGGGATTCTCCTGTCTCAGCCCCCTGAGTAGCCCCCAGGTGCACACCAACACTCCTGGGTAATTTTTGTATATTTAGTAGAGATGGGGTTTCACTATGTTGGTCAAGCCAGGCTGGTCTTGAACTCCTGACCTCAGGTGATTCGCCCACCTCAGCCTCCCAAAGTGCTGGGATTACAGAGGTAAGCCATGGCACCCGGCCCCCATTATATCTAATTTTGGATGAGAATCACATGTAATTGGCTTTATCAGCACACCTGTTTGTCATTTGCAATCCTGTAGCAGTTTTGTGGACAGTGTTATGTTTGTATGTGAAGATGAAGATGAATGTTTTATGCCACTCAATTATCAATAATGAATAAACCACACTAAAGAAAGTGTAATTATCTTGCTAATATCCCTACATAAAATATTACAAAATTGTCTGAAAAAGAGGCAAACAAAAATTATGCTGGAATAAAAATGCAGGAAAAGACATATTACAGAGTTGTATTAAGCAGTGAATGAATAACTATTCTGATAGTTCTCTAGATTTTGTGCTACTTTTCCACTTTTCATTTGTAATTTTATTGTAATTTATTTTCCTATTCTAAATAAACATTTGTTTTAACATAATTTTATATTCCTAATGCTGTATGCTGTATGCTCTTTCTTTTTTACATATTTTTTAGATGTATTTCTTTAGAGATGGGCATCACCATTTTGCCCAGGCTAGACTCAAACTCCTGGGCTCAGACGGACCCCTAGTTGCAGCCTCTCGTGTAAATGGGACTAAAGGCTCACGCCAACACACCCAGCTTGTGTTCTTTGTCTTAAAGAGGGCCTGTTCCATGAAAGCACTGTGTATGCAAAGCAGCCCCCAAATGCCGAAGGAGCTGAGAAATCAAAGGAGAAGGCACACAAACCCAGTTTGTCGGTATTGGTTGATGTGTCGGGGAGCTTACACACAGAAGCGTGGCCCTGGGCGGCCACAAGACAGGTGGGTTTCTGCACTGTGACTCCCCAGACCCGGGACGTATATACCACAGGGCAAGGGCATACACACTCCGGCAGGGCTTATATACCACAGGGCAAGGGCATGCATGCTCTAGCAAAACAAAGGCAACTCTCCAGGACAGCAAGAGTGCCATGTGCACTGTTGCCTCTAATTTGTGCGGTATTGTCAAGGTTGACACTTTCTTACACTAGAGATGGTAGATAAAGTGGTAACCAGGAGGCTTTCACAGGACTGGGGCTGGTCAGACATCAACATGGTGGGTAAGCATCCAACAGGGAGCCACTTTTGTCTCCACAGACCCCGTGTTTAGAGACAGTGCCCCCAGGTTATGTCGCTAAAGGACATTTTGGGGGGGACTGATGATGTCTGGGGTGAACTGCAAACATCTTGACATTCGTTAAACCAACTCTAAAGGACATTTTGGGGTGAACCAAAAGACACTTGCGCTCTAAGTAATTCAGGGGAGGGAGGGTGAGTGAAGCAGAGCACTGGGGGATGGGGAGTCGGGCTACCCGGGAGGTCCTCACTTACCTGCCCAGGAACTAGGGGGCCTGCCTGGCGCTGAGGAGAGAAAGGAGAGGCAGAGTCTGAGACAGTCCCGCAAGAAACATGGACGAGGTGCAGGTGGCAGCCTCCAGCGCACTAAGAAACTGAAGCGCATGCAAGCAGGCCAAAGCCTGGCCTGCGGGCGGCCCTCCTCCCCAGCCACCTGCAGGGCCCCGCAGTGGGCCTGGCTCCACATGGAGAGGTGAAGGAGGGGAAGGAGCCTGCGGGGAAGCGGGGGTCTCCCACCCAAGCCAGCCGTCTACCCATCACACTGCATTTGAGGAGCGCTGCACACAGCAATCCTCATGTTCTAAGCGCTTCCTCGCTCCCTGGCAGGAAATCTGAGTGAGAGGTTTGGGTACAGAATTACTCTCCCAGTTCAGCCGGAAGTCAGAAGTCAGCCAGAAGCCAGACTTCCACTCACCATTTCCCACAGAGTTACAGTTTTCTTTATCCAAGGGGAAGACACCAATAAAAAACCATGGCAAAACCGCCCTGTAACCTTCAGGTCACAGAAGTTGAAGCAGAGGCTATTTCAGAAAGAAAGGATAATAAAGAGATTTGTTTGCAATTGTAAACCAACTTAACACACAGCTGAGAAAGAAAGACTAAAAATTCTCTAATAAAGATTATTAACTAGCCAACCGACAGAAGCATTTTGTTTTCGCTTATTTTCTGAGACAGGGTCTCGCCCTGTTGCCCAGGCAGGAGTGCGGCGGCTTGATCTCGACTGTCTGCACCTGCAACCTCCCGGGCTCAAGCCGTCCTCCTGCCCCAGCCTCCCGAGTAGCTGGGACTGGATATGCGCAGCCCAACGCCACTGATGACAGAGCATTCTTATGACACGAGTGCCTCTCAGTTCACTTCATTTTAGTCCTGGAGGTCTGATTGCCTAGTTTCTTCTTCTTCAAAATTGATGTTTCCTGAAAAGAAAAGAGCAACATGACTGTATTTCATATTTACTTTGTTCTGTTTTTAAAGTCTTTATTCACTAAAAGATCTTCTGCAAAAAATGGTTATTATAACAATTAAGCACTCATTGGTCAAAAATGAAATGTTACATTTTACCTCATATGCACTTCAACAGTTTTTCTTTTGGTACCAGAAATAAAGTAAGCAAAAGACGTACTCAGAGTAAATGCTAAGACAAGACTATCCATGAAAAATCAGTAATTCTCTTATGCCTGCACACCTGTCCAAAACTGCCACCTTTGTGGATAAAACATGTAATTTCTTGGCTGTTATATTAATTAAAAGATTACAGGCTGGGAGCAGTGGCTCATGCCTGTAATCTCAGCACTTTGGGAGCCTGAGGAGAGCAGGTCACTTGAGGTCAGGAGTTCGAGACCAGCCTGGCCAACATGGTGAGACCCCGTCCCTACTAAAAATACAAAAATTAGCTGGGCATGGTGGTACATGCCTGTAATCCCAGCTACAAGGGAGGCTGAGGCAGGAGAAGCACTTGAACCTGGTGGTGGAGGCTTCAGTGAACCGAGGTCCTGCCATTGTACTCCAGCCTGGGCGACAGAGCGAGACTCTGTCAATTAAAAAAAAAAGGCAGAAATTTGCTACATTCTCATAAGATTTTATATTTACATGTTTTGTGAAAGATAAAGTTATTTTTTATTATTAATAAAACTGTAACTTTCACTGTTGGGTATATTAAAGAAGAAATGAGGAGGGTAAATCTCCAATGTAATATGGGATTCGTGATGAATACATCTTGAATTTGTATTATTTGGATAGATGTTCTGCCAACTAAACCATTTTGTATGTTTTTTTCCATTTTCCCTTAGGCCCTCCTGACACTGTGGCCTGGGTGACCCTTTGCTGGGGTCCTGTGCCCTGCAGGGATTCAGCACCATCCCCAGCCTCCACTCAGGAAGATGCCAGCAGCATTCCCTCACAGCGTCACAAGTCTCCAGACATTGCCAAATGTCCCCTGGAGCCCCAAAGCCACTGAGTTAAGGGGGTGCTCCTTCTGTCCCAGGCTGGTGCATGAACCGCAGTCTCAGGCATCTGCTGGTACCAGGCAGTCTCCACTGGCCCTGTCTCTCCCGGTCAGTCTTCATGACTCTTCCTCCTCCACCCCTCCTTATCTCCTCCAGCAAGGTTTCTGGGGCCTCCTGCCTTGCCTGGCTCCAAGGCACCCATCCTCGTTGCCCCAGAGAAGCTCAGAGGGAAAGCCTGATACAGGCACTCCCTATGTCCCCAGAGGCCCCCACCAGGCTCAGGACCAAGTTCAAAGGACATCAGGTCCCCAGGGAAAGGGACCACCTCCCCACCCCGACACCCTTCTGCTGTCAGACTCTTCTCTGACTGGAATTTCCTTCCTGGTTTCACCCATTCCTTGCCACCTCCCTCCCAGCTAACCCAGAGCTTCCTGATCCTGCCCCAGGTAAGTCGTCACCTCTCCTGGGTACATGATACCATGTCCCTGTCACTGCAGGGAACTCGCTGATTGCTCTATGCCAGCTTCCCATTAGGTGCTGGAGGGTGAAAGCACAGCCCCTCACCTCCACACCGCCTATCAAACCCAGTGTCTCCCCCAGCCGCGCTCCACAGCGACTGAGGTCAGTCCTCTGTGAGCACAGCTGGGTGCTGTTCTAACACCGTGCACACTCTAGCCGCTCGGTCCTGGCAGAATCCTATGGACCCCCTACCCACCAGGGCTCACTCTATCCACCCTGCACAAATCAGAGAAGCAGAGACGATGCTCACTTGTAAAGCCAGATTTCCACCCCACCCATGCTCGACCTCAGCACTGCATTGCTGGGGGCATCACTACAGCACCCAGGGGAACTGCAGACCACGGAGGTCTAACTATGTGTGTTTAGAGCATCTAAGAGAAAACTGCTTTGTGATTTAATTACTTCAGGTATTATTGTCAAAGGAATGGGAAGTATATTCTTAATTTGCAACAGAGGCACATTAAGTGGAATAGGAGGGACTGCAGACTGGCTCCTGGAGCCACCGTGCCCAGGCTATTCCCAGATGACCCTTTCCCTCACAACCATGACACCCACTTTCTGTCTCATGTGAAAAGTGCATTAAGAGAAGAGAGTCCTCCCTCCGGGCTTTCTGGAAGTGTCCACAAGCACTTGGGGAAGGATTTTTAAAGAACCTGAAGCTTCAATCAGTCAGAACTGATGTCAAATCCCTGCCCTGTGACCTGGCAAGGTAGAGGTTTCTAGATAATATTACATCCAAACCCACTTAAAAAGAGCTAGTTCCGAACACCACAGCCTTTAACCATACTCCTGTGAGTCAGCCCTGCTAAAAATCACGCAAGACCCAGCACTTTGCGAGGCCGAGGCCAGCAGATCGCCTGAGGTCCGGAGTTTGAGACCAGTCTGGCCAACACGGTGAAACCCCACCTCTACTAAAATTACAAATTCGCCAGGTGTGGTGGCATACACCTATGATCCCAGCTACTCAGGGGGCTGAGGCAGGGGAATTGCTTGAACCAGAGAAGTGGAAGTTACAGTGAGCCGAGATCGCACCACTGCACTCCAGCCTGGGTGACAGAGTGAGACTCCCATTTAAAAAAAAAAAAAAATCATGCAAGAAAAGAAGGCCAGGTTCTGCATGTCTGATGAGGCTCCCCAGCCTGGGGCCTGTCCTCCCATGACAGTGAGCACGGGCACCGCCGCGGCCCCAGGCTGTTCCCACTGCAGCCAGGCTTGCAAGAGGACTTGCGCAGGAGTAACATTCTGCCACGGCTCCAGTGAGCACTCACAGGGGCCCCCTAAGCCTTCCCCGAGTCCCTGGGGCCCAGCTGAAGGCAGGCCTTGGTAGAGGGAAGGGGAATCCCATTGCCTGTGCCCCTGTGTGCTGGCCCTTGCCCCACCTCGCAGCGCAAGGACCTCACCCTCTTCCATGTCGTAGTGGAACTCGTCCTGGTCATACTCCCGGCCCTCCTCTCTGAGGACGTCTGCATCTTCATCTCCAGGCCTCATTTCCATCTCACCCTCGAAGCCCTCCAGCAGAGCCTGGGCCTCCTCCCCGGGTTCTCCTGCACCTGAGATAAAACAAAGGTCAAAAGACAGAGTTCTTGGGAACACCAGAGCCTGCAGAGCTGTGCAGGGCAGCTGTCCCCAGGGCTGCCATGCCCTCGCCCTCCCCCTACTGCTGGCAGCAACTCTCGGTCCCCATCTCAACGTCCATGCAGCCCAGCCCAGGCCCCACTGCAGTCAGGGGCTCGGGGATGGGAGCAGGTGGTCTGATCACTTTAACTCCTGAGGGTCTTGATGAGAATACTGAGAAAGAGAAGCCCTCTGTCTCCTGGGATTCCTGAGAGTGCCGTCCAGGGCAGCCAGCGCAGAGGATTGCCAGGACACAGGGCAGACGCTGCCCGGCCATGCGGGGGGCTGTGTCTATCCCTGAGCTTCCCAGGCACATGAGCCAAGGCATTCTTAGCAGCATGAGTATTCTTCACAGAGGCCAGAGTTGGCTTTCTGCCAGTTACCATGGAAGGGATCTCACCCAGCACAGCCACCTTCAACTTTCCCCAGCACATTAAGGATTTCCAGGAGGACCACTGGGTTGGACATGGAGATGTGATGCAGACCCTTCTTCAAGAAAGGACTGTCCCAGCCACTCTCCGTGCCAGACGCCTTCACTCACTGACCCAGGTGAGGGGATAAAGGACCCCCCCGGACGTCACAGTGCTCCCGGTGGAATGAAGCAAGGCTGTGGTGGGCATGCCTCTGCCTCTGTCCAATCAGTCCTGTGTCTTTCCTCTCCCCTCTGCTCCCCAGGAGTGTGCTTTAATCCCAAAGCCTCTCCCTAATAATATCCTGTACACTGAACTGATCCAGCATCTGATTTCCAGAGACTGCAATCACATCTGGCCTGAAAACAGGAAACCATGACTCCCACAGCCCACAGGTGCTCCACACCCTCCACCCCACAGCCCAGAGGCACCCCACACCCTCCATCCCACAGCCGGGGCACCCCATACTCTCCATCCCACAGCTAGGGGCACCCCACACCCTCCATCCCACAGCCCGAGGCACCCCACACTCTCTATCCACAGCTGGGGGCACCCCACACCCTCCATCCCACGGCCGGGGGCACCCCACAGCCTCCATCCCACAGCCCAGGGACATCCACACTCTCCATCCTACAGCCCAGGGGCATCCACACCCTCCATCCCACAGCCGGGGGCACCCCACACCCTCCATCCCACAGCCGGGGGCACCCCACACCCTCCATCCACAGCCGGGGGCATCCCACACCCTCCATCCCACAGCCGGGGGCACCCCACACCCTCCATCCCACAGCCCAGGGGCATCCCCACCCTCCATCCCACGGCCCAGGGGCACCCCACACCCTCCATCCCATGGCCCAGGGGCATCCACACCCTCCATCCCACGGCTCAGGGGCACCCCACACCCTCCATCCCACAGCCCAGGGGCACCCCACACCCTCCATCCCACAGCCCAGGGGCACCCACACCCTCCATCCCACAGCTCAGGGGTATCCCACACCCTCTGTCCCCTGGGCCAAAGGTGCCCCACCATGTCCTCAGTCACACAGCCTGAAGGTGCCCCACAGCCTCTGCCCCACAGCCCCAGGGTTGCCCCACACCCTCAGCTCCTGGACCCTCTTGGCCGGGTCCATCTGTAGAGGTTGGCTCCTTGGGGAGGGCTGGTGTCCACAGGGCCAATTCCGTGATCTTGGTAGCTTTCCATTTTGGAACAACTGTTGCTAATAGCTCTTCCTCCTCTTCCTCTTCTCCTCTTTCCTATTTTAAGTACAAAAATGTAAATTCACCATTTGTGTAATCTTGGTCTGGAATATTAAAAGTGAGGGAGGAAGGACAGGTTTTGACTTGTGTTTGAGCCTTTTTAGGGACATCACTCAGGAATCAGACCAGTTCCGGCGCTCCGTAGTATAACCTAAGGGTTGAGAACGGACCTTGAAAGGGCCAGGGTTGAGAAATGAGCTCTACAGAGCAATGCTGGGCCCGAGCTTTATAATGGATGCCACAGAAATTTTCGGATGACCATGTCCCAGTACCTGCAATAGCTAAGACATGGCCAGACTATGTGGTCAGAACTCAATGGCCAGGATTAAGTGGTCTTTTCAATTGTTCGGCCACATTTTCCAACTCTAATACAAAAATTTCTTATGTTACATAATTATATTTTTATTGAGCTTAGTAAAAACATAATTATTTATATTATTCTTTATATAAATAATATAAGAAAGATCCGTATGTTTCTTTAGACAAGGCCTAGGAAGTTCCTAAGAGGTCCATAGAATGATATGGATTTGCATAAACATGAGAGCTCTAGTGTGAAGGATTATGGGGAAAAAATTAAATTCCAGGAAAGCAGAATGAGAGTTCATCAAGTCTGAATGTGGAACCCTTTGTAATAAAAAATGCACAGTTCCATCAATGGTGAGGAGCCCCCATGTGCCAACTTTGCCAGGCATATTTGCCTACTTCTCAGTTTTGTGACTATCACAAAATTCCAAAGATCTGAGCATCAACACTGTGAATATGGAACACTTCGCCACCACATAGGTGACAATACTGATGACAAAGAGGAGCAGACATCTGCCTGTTCCACTGAGTCACTGGGAAATCAATGATTCTATTTTGGTCTCAAAGTGTTCAAGTGTGGCCACCCAGGAAGGGTGACACCAATGCTGCAGGACAGGGTCCTCAAACTTGACTTGGATCAGAATCGCCCAGAAAACAGTAAAGGACAGATTGCTAGCCCCACCCCCAGAGTCTGGGATTCAGCAGGTCTGGGATAGCATCCAAGAAGCTGCATTTCTAACGGATTCCCAGGTGAAGCAGACAGGGCTAGTTTGGGAACCGCACTCAACTTTATATATAAAACCAAGAGGGAGAACCCTCTTACTTTGCTGGTGGGAATGAAAAAGGATGCCGCTACTGCAGAAAACATCTGGCAGTTCTTCGAAAAGCTAAACAGCGTCACCATTCCACTCCTCGCGATATAACCAAACAAACTGAAAACAGAGATTCGAACAGATGCTTGTACACCAATGTCTGCTGCAGCATTATTCATAATAGCTAACATGTGGAAGCAACTCAGTGGTCCACCAACAGTCGAATGGATAAGCAAGAACCTTGAAAACAAAAGAAACTTGAAAACATCATGCTGAATGAAAGAAGCCAAGCACAAAAGGACAAATACAGAATGAATTCATTTCTATGCAACATCTAGAATAGGCAAATTCATAGAGAAGGAAAGTAGATTAAAGGTTATCAGGGGCCGCGGGAGATCGAAAAGGGAGTTGTTGCTTAACAGGTCCAGAGTTTCTGTCTGGAAGAACGAACACGTTCCAGAAACGCATAGTTCTCATGGTTGCACAACACTGTGAATGTACTGAATGCCACTGAAAGCATGCTTTAAACTGGCAACTTTCATATTCTATAAAAGTACATCTAAAACCAGGATTGAAAAAGAGACAGGTGGTGAGCCACAGGCTGCAGTTTAGCAAGCCCTACTCTAGAGGGAATACATTCCCCTCACTGGGTGGGGCAAGAGAACACTGAGGCTTTTCTGTTTCGCCACAGTCCTAATGAATCCCCAAAGCACAGTGGGTGGCCTGTGACAAAGCCCTCAGGTTGTCATTGCATTATTTCCTGGGTGGTTTTTCCTGAACAGCCATAGGACCTGGGGATTACATCAGTATTTGCTCCCTTAGATGTTACCGATGCTCTTCCTACCTTCTGCTCAGCATCCTGAAATATTGACTTCTAGTAACTTTTTCCAGGAGAGTCTAAAGCTGCAAAGCACTTAATAAGATGGGCTTTATTTTGATCACTAAAAAAATTTAAAAACTTGCTCAATCACCAGTAAACCTAAACAGTTATTACTAGCGCTGACAAAATATCCATTTAACCAATAGGTTCCTTCACGAAACAGGTGAGAGGTGTCCAACCCAAGGAAATCCCAGCAAAACACTAAACACATCCCTGCCGCAAATGAATCCTAAAGTCAGCTGTCTTTCTTAAGCTTCTGACTATGTATATAGGTGGTTACACACACACACAAATGCAGTGGACGGCAATATGTCAAACTCCTCTATGTTTTGTTAGAAGCAGATGACTAGGGAAAGCTAGGATCTCCCGCAGCCTTCCAAGCCACCCATAGGGTGGCTTCTACCTCCTGTCCAAGGGTGGCTTTCCCTAGCCTCACAGCTGACCCCAAGGTGACGAGGAGTCAGTTTAAAGCAGGGCCTCTGGGTGATGCCAAGGGGTTGATGAGGGACGTGACAACAAAAACCAAAATCCAGCCGCCTGCTTCAACCTCCCAGAGTGCTGGGATTACCGGCGTGAGCCATTGTTTTTGGCCAGGATTAGCTTCTAGCGACAAAAAAGGTATGTGTCAACAGAGTCTAGAGTTCTGCAATAGCTGGAAAATGATACTGTTTGCTTCTGGCAATTTAGTTCTGTAGCAACACATGCAAATGAGGAAAACAAAAATATGAAAGTTCCTAAGAGTTGGCATAACTTGTAGGCGAATCATCTCCAACCTTGTAGGATCAATGTTTTTGAGCAGCTCCTTTGCCTGTGAATGTAAATAAAAACCATACATGCTCTGCAACTTACCATGTCTGCTAAACGATATTCGCCATGTTGTTCACACCCAACATCAAATACATACTTTCCAGGGCCGACAGGCTACGAGCAAAGAGGAAACCATCCTTAAGTGTCAACACCCAGCAGCAAATACAAAATACACATGCCACCACCACCATGCCCACCTCAAATCACAAAACTGGATGAAGTCTAACATGGATTAAAGAATGCTTTTATGAACTAACGGCTAATGAATTTGGGAAGTATATGCCTTGTTTTGTTTACTTTTTAAAACTTTAACCACATTTCACTTTTTTATAAAAGTGCTGTATTCATTTTCAGCAAACCTTAGTAAGTCAGTATCCATAGGTGAACTAGCTAGCAGTGTAACTACTACTACTATTTTTATGCATTCTTTGTAACTTTGCTTCTGGTATACATTGCTAAATACAAATCTGATCATAAGGGCACATACTAACTCACACTCTATTTTTGCTGAGAAATATGGCATGAACTACTTCCCATATTTACAAATATTCTTTCATAACACCAGTTGTCACCTGGTATTTTACTTCATCTATGGATTGTAAGCTATTTTACTCAGTTACTATTGTTGGTATTTAGGATACTGATTTTTTTTTTTTTTTTTTTTACAAAGAACACTCCAGTAAACATACTCTGAGTTAAAACTTTATGTATGCTTTTGATATCATTCTTAAATTATCAGAATTTCTGGACAAAAGCACGTATGTGTTTGGATCAAATGAGGCTCTGAACACTTCATTCCCACGACTGCACTTCAGAGTTCCAGATCCGCAAACACTTGATTTTAGGAGTGTAAAAATGTTCTATTTTTACATGTTTTTTTAATATATAACAACGGGGTCTCACAATTTTAATTCACTTCATTTCAGTTGTTAGTAAGGCTAAATTTTTTTTCAAGATTTTTAGCCATTTAAATCACATTGATTGATAAAACACTTTCTATATGAAATGTTGCAAATGTCCTCTCCCCATGTGACAGTCATCTCTTAGATTTTCTTTACAGCATGTTCTAATCTATAAGAAGTTATTTTTATAAAGCTAAACCTATTGGTTTTTCCTTCCTATTTCTGTTTCAAGTTCTCTTTGCTCATTTCAAAGTTAATACTCATCTACTTTTTTTTCTATATTTCCTTGGGTACATTTAAATCTTTACTTCTTCTAGAAAGTATATTCATCTGTATGAAGGAAAAACTATTATTTTCCTCCCAAATAATGATCAAGTGTTCCCAGCACTATGTCTTGACTCCTCCCATCATTCCTTTGTTAATTTAATATGACCTCCTCATTGTGTGAAATGATTTTATGTACTGGGACCTGCCTCTAGACTTTCTAATCTGTTTCATTGGTGTGCGTGTGTGTGTGTGTATGTCTGTGTGTATCCTGGTATCACACTGTTTCAGTTATTGAAGCTGTGTAGTATCTTTTAATAACTTGTCCACAAGGACATGTACAGAGAATTTTCTGAGGAAGAAACACAAACCAGCAATAAACGTGGACCAGATTTTTGACCTCACTAGTAATCAGGGAAGTGTACATTAAAACAGTGAGATGACACTTTTTACCCTTAAGGTTGGAAAAAACAAAAACAACATGAAAGACTGAGAATATCCAATGTCAATGAGAATAGATGATAAAGAGACTCACATTCTGTTGGAAGAGTGTACACTGACACCAGTTTTTAGGAAAAGCAGCACTACTGATTGTGATTTTAAACACCAGTCCTCAAAGGTTCAGCAATTCCATTATCTAACCTTCATCATAATCCAAAATGTGCAAAATGACAAAGATGTATCTTTGTGTGTACTTTTGTATCCTGATACAGTATAATCCTGTTTCTGCAATGAAAACCCGCAAACAATGATTCTGTGTCAGATGAATGTCTTAGAGTGTGCTTACATGACACACAGAAACAGTGTGGAAGGACTGGGCCCAGGGTGGCGGGGCAGGATCTTAGTGTCTAAATGCTTTGCAGTTGGAATGTACTTGTGTGTTATTTGCATAATTCAAAGTTTTTTACTAACTAGCAAAACAAAGCCTCCATTTTTACCCTGATTTTTCAGACTGGTCTAGGCTGGACAAGCTGACTGAGTCTTCCAGATTCATGATCAAATTCTCTTCCTCTGCACCCACCTTCCCATCTCCTCCAAAAATACCCATGGAATGTTTGCTGGGAATGGTGTGAACAGTGTATGGGTGTGAGGAGAACGTACTGTTTTAATGAAGACTCAAATCTGTGGTTAGGGCGTGAATTATATGCAAATGAAAACTGGGTTCTAAGAGAGTCTGAAGAAACTTCATTAAATCAGCTAAACATTCCCTCTGTCAACTTCTAACACCATCAATTTGCTCAGCAAATTCTCGCTTCAGGGAAAGTTTCTGTTCAACCCCTAATCAAAGCTACCACGACTGCTCCAGTAGTGGCTTCTGAATTATTCCAGGTTTCTCTGTCTAAAGAAGGGCAAGAGGAACCCCTGAGCTTTCCGAACAGAAATGGCCACCTCGGGTGCTGGAACTGGCAAGCCTCCAGACCCAGGGCCAGGCCGTTGGCAGCCTCAACTCCCACCATGACCAGGAGCGTGCAGGCTGGCCTGCAGCATGAGGAGGAAGCTGGGGGTCTTCCTCCCCAGGGATGTCACACCACCGCCCCCCCACCAGGGGAAACAAAACCCAAACACCTCCCTGCTGAATTGCAGGAAACAGATATTTGTATCTGATTTATCGATGAGAAGGAATACACACAAGACGCTCAGATGCCCCTTGTGTTATGACAATGCAACAGGTCCCCACTGAAAGACAGCAGGAGTTTGTACACAGACAGGGAGAAATGGGCCAGCTTCCCTCCCTCCCCCCAGAGGGAGTACCTCTGTGGGTACCAGAGGTTCAGAAAATGGCGCAGCTGTCCTGTTCCCCACGTTTGAAGAGGAGGGACTCAGTTTTCTCTGCATTTTTAGTGTTCTCCAGTCACACATTTGCACAGACTGCAAGAGGGGATTATTTTGTATGTCATTGGCAAATGTCACTTCCCACAGACTTACATTTTTGTTCAAGAACTTGCCCTGGTACCTGTGGTTCAGGTGAATGAGCTCGGCCGCGCCCTCCTGCTGTCCGTTCACCCAGGTGCCAACATACTTACTGCCCGTCTCTGCGTAGAAATAGGTGCCTTGCCCATGCCTGGTTAAGACAAGGGGCACATGGTATTTCGTTCTAGCACCGTGAAGAATCTCCCAGGTTTAAAACACAGACATTAACATTGTGGGGGCCCCAGGCTGACGCAGGCTCACAACGATGTGGCTTCTCTATCTGTGTGCAGTCACAAGGTGCTCCCTGCTCAGTGTGCCCCAAGCACAGGACATGGCCAGAGGCACAGAGGACAGGCTGGCTGGACAGAGGGAAGCTCCGGGGTACCAGCTGCTTTCCCCAAGGGAGCAGCAGAGCTAGTGGGAGCTGTGGCTCAGGTCCCCCAGTGGCTCTTCTGTGCCTTCCGCTCCCTGGGGCTCTTGGGAGAAAGACTCACATGCTTTGCACCAACTGAGGTACAGGTGTCAGTTACTGAAGTCTACACCTGCTCAGAAAGGCATCCTTGCCTCAGAGCCATAGAAAGATTGGACCTTCCTGGCAGAGGTGGTAACTGGGATTTTGTTCTGATTCTATTCCCCAGTAAGTGTAAACAATCTGCAAGCATCATATTCTCGTGACAGAAGCAAATCCCGTAAGACTCAAGGTAGAAAGCAAACCTTTGATGAGCAAACCACTCTCCGGTGTAGGTGTCGTTATTGACGTAGTAGTATACACCAAAGCCGTGCCTCTGGTCATTTGCCCACTCTCCTGGGAAGAACAACACAAAGGCAAGCCTGGGTGAGAAGAAGGGACTGATGTCTGTACCGTGTCTTCAAATTGTTAACCATGGCAGAGGCAGATGTGCTGGAAGCAAATGAAGCTACAGCCTCAGGGCTCCATGCCCACATAGGCCCCTTCTGCTCAGGAAATCCTGCAGAAGAGATTTTTACCTGCACTGACTAAGGCTGCTGTGTTTCCACTCTGACATCCCCCATCCCCCTTCCTTTTGTGCCAGATGGCATGGTGCTGAGCCATGGTGGAGAGTGGGCTAAGGGAAGGCTGAGTCAGGGGTTCACAGGGCACAGGTAGAGTGAGGTATATGGATGTGGGCCGCAGCCACCTGCATGTATTGACAAGCACATTTCACAGGTCGTCAGAGGCATGATGAGGATTCAAACCGAAGTTGTCTGACCTATTGCCAGTGATCCTAACACCACACTTCATTTACCTTGCAAATGTTTAGTGATCCAGCAACAACCCAAGGCTTGATCATCTGTACCCACTAGCCAGCTTTTCAGTCTATCTCCCACTCACTCAACCACCCGGCTCCAACCTGCCACCCTAACCCCAGCTGCACACCAGCTCCATCCACTGGTGCCGCACTATGGCTGACCCAGACCTCTGCCTGAGCTCTTCCCTCACCTCCTCACTTCCAAGGCTTCCGCTAAGTCCTTACAGATGTGGTAGGAAGTACTGAAATTGGCAAGGATGTCACAAAATTCATAGTACAGCTCCATGATGAGGACAACTGCAAACCACTGTTGTCAACCACCACACGAATCCCTGCACTAGAAAACTCAAAACGTCCTCAAATCTTGAAACTTAAGAGAGGTCTACTAAAGGTGACAGGTCTTACAAACATGCTTATTGCCAAATCATTAAGCTAAATGATACATTTTGAGTCTATGAATAATAAAAAGCAAATGTTGACCAATTTGTTGATCAAAGAGAAAAGAAGAAATTATATTTCTATTCTTTCTATAGAAAACATTACAAAAGGGTTGCCATATGGAGAAGTGTTGAGAACCAGCCCAACACCATTGGTGTGTGCCCTTAGTCCCTGTGGTGACGAGGGACTGGGAAAAAGAAATACAGACGGAGACACAAGAGTAGAAGTTACAGCACGGGTCCAGGGGCCCACCGCAAGCATGGGAACCGCATTGGCCCCAGCTCTGGGCTCCAAACACTTTAATTATGTACACAATCTCATTGATGTTATGGGCATGGAAAGGGAGGATAAAGGAGTAGGTAAAATCGCCGGTGGAGAGCACTTGAGATCCTTCTAAGACATGCTAAACTACTGCCCTGAGTTTACAACCCATTGTTATCAGGGTGCCTCAGAAGTATAGCAGATAGAAGCCACCAGTCTGACCACACCCAATGCATCAAGGGGGGACATAGAGCAATTAAAATCACTCCATATCCGAGAACCTAGGCAGATCCTGAGGTGTTCTGTGATCTCTGCCCTGCAAGGCTTTTCTCCTCGTTGCCAGCTTCCATCTGCAAAGACCCTGCTGGATCTTGTGAGCAGAGGTCACCTCCCTTCTCAGAGATCTTTCCATCAGCCCTCTTTACGAGGCCCTCTTGCAGTCTCCATGTTGAGAAGGCATTTGCGGACCAGAGCAGTACTCCCTGCTCTGCAACCACCCCGAGGTGTTCTCCGGTGTTACTGCGCTCTCAGATGGTCTTTACCTTAGGCCCCTGTTGCCGCTTGATTTCTAATTAACTGCACCAATAATATAGTTTAGTTCAGTGTATAAACTCCAGTGCACTCTGAGCCAAGCAAGCTTAGAATTATCGAGCTAGAATTAACATAGGTCTCCCCCTGGCCATCTTGACCCACAGAGAAGCATTCAAAGAGTGTTAGCTAACAAAGGTAGACAAAAGCTATTTTAGAAATATGTCAGACATTAATTAAAACTTGGGCTACTTAGATTCTGTGATGTTTGTGGTATTTTTAAATTTTTAACTTATCTTGATCTATAATTACAAATGAAAATTCACTTTTATACCAACTTTATATTTTCTTTTTCTTTAAGAGGGTTCCTAAAACTTATATAAGCTTCTGACTTACACAAAAACTGAACCCACTTCCACATGAAGATAGCGAATACCCAATAGGCTAAGAAAATGTTAATTATTCAAGCAATATTTGTTTATGTGACTAAACCCCAAAATTTATCTACAGAAGTAATTTGTACATATTTATTTCCTCAATCATTCCAATATTTATTCAGCACCTACAGTGTCCTGGGCACTTTGTAAGATGAACAAACAGCTGTACAAAGGACAATGCATGGCCCCGGGGCACCCGTGCCAGCCTGGGGTGAGGAGGCAGGCACCTGAGCGGCAGCCGAGGACAGGGAAGGCAGCACAAAGAGCTACATGGCACAATTCCAAAAAATGGGTAGGCGTTCAGAAAAGAGCAGGCTTACCAAAAACTCATGGAGAGAGGAAAGGTGGCAACTGCCACCAGGTAAGAAAGAGAACCAGGTCCCATGATGTGATGTGTGACAGGAACGACACAGACAAGAGAGATGAAGATCCCAAAATTGAGACAATTCCGTAAAAAGTACTTCAGGTCCTTGAACCTAAAGTAACCATGAGGATGTGCAAATACCTCGGGGGATCTGTCTGGATCTTAGGGGGCAGTGATGTGCCTGCATTTGTAGCATTTGCCAATTTCTGCGGCGTAAATACCCCCACTGTGGCCAATTTCAAACTGCACATGTTGCTGGGAAGAGATGCACAGGATGGCCTTCTGTGAGCTATTATGAGGGCTCCAGCATAGCCCTGGGGCAGAGACCTCAGCTGAAACAGGGACATCATCTGGTTTCTTCCCAAGAAAAGATCATGACAAAATTATCACATCCCTCCTTTCCTGGCCATGTCAGCTGGTCTCCAGGGAGTCATGGCAAGAAAGATATATCACATGTTTTGCAGAAAATTTTCAAAAATGAAAGAGAACAATTAACTTGCAAAAGACGCTAAATTTTACACCATAAGGACTGTGAGCAAAATTTTTTAAAGTCCTGATCTACTTAAAAACCTGTGAAGAGACTGTGCCCAGCGTTTTGTAATGCCACCACAGGGACCCTGCACAAATGGAGAAGGTAACTCAGAGGAAAGCCACCTGCTGAGACACGCCTCTAACAGCCATGAGTCCAGTTTCCTTTCTTAAGTGAATGACAATTACAAACTTTATTACTATGGCTTTAAATTTGCGGTTAATTTTTTTTAAGTCTTTCTACCCCAATCCTATACTTTCTGATCATTCTTGATCTTGTCAACTGAGGTTTTTTCAGCTGCATTTTTCAGGAGTAAAAGAAATGTAGTCGGCTGGTTGGTTACTGGTTGGGTGGTTGGTTGGTTGGTTGGTTGGTTCATTGGTTGGTTGGCTGGTTGGTTAATTGGTTGGTTGGTTAGTTGGTTAACTGACTGGTTGGTTGGTTGGTTGGTTAGTTGGTCAATTGATTGGTTGGTTGGCTGGCTGGTTGGTTAGTTGGTGGTTGGTTAGTTAATTGGTTGGGTGGGTGGTTAATTGGTTGGTTGGTTGGTTGGTTGGCTAATCACCTAGCTGGTTGATTGATTGGTTGTCTGGCTGGTTGGTTGGTTGGTTGGTGTACAGCTGGGTGCTCCTAAGGGAGAGCAGTGTGTCTGGCACTTGGGATTGAAGACAATTTAAAATGAGAAGCTCTCCAAACTGCTCCTCCTACCTCAAATTCTGGTTGGTCACTGGTTTGCCATGCTGGCCCACAGTCTTGCCACGTTGGCTGCCTACACTACTGGATCAGCCAAATGCAGGAGAGAAGGAGCCCACACTTATGGGGAAATACTCCATGTACTTGCCATAGCATTTGGTATGTGTAATAACTGAAATGTGGTTTTACAGATGCAGAACCTGGAAGGCAGAGGGACTGTGTACATGGTCTGAGGTCCCACAGCTGGTGAGTAGCAAGACTAACATGAAAATTGAAGTCTTCCTGATTTTAACACCACGCTCTCTTCTCCACAAGCATCCCAATAGTCAAGTGGTCATTCCTTCCCGCTCCTGCCATTTGGGAGCTTCCAAAAAACCCAGCTTCAAGTTATCATATCATTCTTATTTCTCTACAGTGTCATTATTAAACTTCTTTGTTTTAATGAGTTCTACTTGACAGGTAACAAGGCCAGCAAAGAACAGGGATGCTCTTTCTCTTTCTTAACCTCAGCATCCGCAGTTGGCCCTGCACCCCCAAACCTCAGAATCAGTACATGGAGTCCAAGCCTCCCCAACTTCTGGTACCTCCTGCCCCTCCATCTCATCCCCCAGCACCCCTAAATACTTCTGCCTTCCTGCCTGTATTCAAGTCACCAGCTACCCAGCACTGTCTCCCAGCTCCTCTCCTGTAGCACTATAGCCTCTGCTGGTTCCTGGACTCCCTAACTGGGCTTGTCTGACCATCTGGGAGGCAGGCAGGGTACTGGGCTTTACACCTCAGGGTCCTGATGTTGAACACACGACCCTGCACGAAACCATTCTGGCCCACTGTATGGCAGCCAGCCAAAATACACTGTTATGAATAACGCAGCCATCCATTAACTGAGATTTTGTGATTGGAAGAGCATCGGCTTACTATGTTACCACTAATATTATAACTTCTGATCTCAGTTTCCATTACTGCCTTAATGAAGTAAGATACTTACTTAAGCTTTAGTCAGAGAAGACATCTCTGAGTAGTGACTCTACCTTGTACCCTTTAAGATACAAAGCCATCTGGAGAATCAAAAATCCCAGCTGTTGCCAGACGAGCTTTCTATGTTAGTGTGGCATAATAAGAAATATTGGTCTTTATTCATGGTTCCCAGCACAGAGCTCCTAAAACCCTTAAGATTTCCTGACTGATAGAAATATTTTTGTTATTCAAAATGAGACTCTTTTGACCATGCAAACTTATGAACTTATGAACTTTTGAACTTATGCAAATGAGGCCCAGGATGGCCTTCAGATGGGACTGGGCACCAGAAAGACCAAGTGATAGGAAGGGTGGAACCTCCAGCCCCACCCACCAACTCTGAGAAAGAAGGGAGGGGCTGGAGATTAAGCTCTATAAAAACTCTTGAGCAAAATTTGATAAGCTTCTGGGGTGGTAAATGTATCATGTGCCGGGGGGTGGTGCACTCTACCTCCATAAGGACAGAAGCTCCTGTGTTCAAGAACCTTCCAGGCCTTGCCGAGTCAGATAGAAGTGTGGGTGCCCTAGGGATCTACTACTTGAGGTTGACATCTGAAGTGGGGCAGTCTTGGAAACTGAACTCTTAACCTGTGGGGTCTGTGCTAACTCTGGGTAGTGTCATTACGGTGTTGCATCACTGGAAACTCAGTTGGTGTCCACGGAGGCCTGGAGAAGCACTCAGCTTGGAAAATCCACGTATTTGGTGTCAGAGAAACAGTTTTCCTTTTTCACCTTCATATTCAAAACTCCTTAAATCCCTTATTCTGAATATCTTGTGTGTGTATGTGTATTGTTCAAATTGTATCAACATCTATGCTAAAATCAAAAGTAACAAGAATGAGATTAAGTGCATAAAGATTTGGAAAGAATTAAATTAAGCCCCAAATTAAATTGTTTAATGTTGATTTTTTTTTTTTTTTTTTGGAATGGAGACAGTCTTGAACTCTTAACCTTGTGATCTGCCCACCTCAGCCTCCCAAAGTGCTGGGATTACAGGCATGAACCACCATGCCCGGCCTTGTTTAAAGTTGATTTAAAAAGCAGATGCTACTTCTTCTAGAGCAAGCCCCCTGAGATTTATGAAGCAAAACAAAATAAATTCTAACAGGGACGGTATTAACAACATCCATCTTGGTCTCTGAATTGGACAGAATCCTCACTGACATCTATTAAAATAAGAACCACCTACCGGTTCTTATTTTATCTGGGAGCAAATCAAGCAACTATAGTTTGTGCTTTATAAGAATATGTCATCCTCATTAAGAAGTAATGCTGTCACACGTGGTACATCACAGACCTAGCCCGTTACTGATGCTCACTATGGATCAGGCAAGGTTGCAGGTGTCTCCCTGTATTCATCCATTGAATCTTCATGCTACAGATGAGAGAGCTGAGGCAAGGAAATGTGAAGTCACCTATGCAAGGTCCCACCTATTGTCACCAGAGTCCAAGGTTAGGGTCACAGATCTTTTTGGAAATCTGAAGAAAACTAGACAACTTCTTCCTGGGGAAAAATCAAAAAGCCCAGAATGTAGAAGTTTGTATATACTTTCTGAAGACTCACAACACACTCTCTGTCCCCCTTCCCAGCTTTGGGATATCACTAGTGTTGTGGTCACACCAGGTGACAATAGCACAAGAAGGAGCAGGGATGATCTTGGAAATAAAGGAAAAAGAATCCTCCTCAAACATAAATTGGCCTGTAAGGAGTGATGGCACAGATAGGAAAAGTCAGGCAAGGTGACTCCCAGATCGGAAGCCCTGATGGAAGGAAACACTCGATCTAAAGCAAGAACACATCCGTCAGAAGCAGGGTTGGTCAGAAATGGAACCTGCAGAGACAAGTTCAGGAAGATGAATGCCACAGAGCACATGAGGACGTGGATCCACCAGCACCGACGCCTGAGTCCGCCCAGCAGCCTCCCTTTTATCTGCTCCCAGGACACGGATGTGCTGGCCATAGGAATGAATCTCCCACTACAGATTCTTTAGTTAGTTAATTAATTACAAGCCTTTCATGTTTCTGCATCAACCCTGTGACTATGGTAACAAAATCTATGTTCATTGAATGACTGACTAATCTGGAGCACTTGAAACTTTTTCATACATGTCAGTATTCACAGACAAGTTCAATCATAAAGAAAGAAAGAAAAAACTTCTGCAACGTGAAAATCTGCTTTGTGATTTTTACCTTCATATCTGGATCCATCTGGATATATAAAAGTGCCTTGACCGTGCTTTTTATTTCTAACATATTCTCCGGTATATCGAGCACCATTTTTAAATCTGTAGCTCCCCTGAAACACATTGATGATATCATTCATATCATTGCTGAATGTAATATTTGCTAACAGAGCATTAAACAGAGAAAAGCATCCAGTCAAGTCACAGGTTCTGACCTGGCCATGTCTTTTACCAAATTCGTAGCTCCCTTCGTAGGTGTCCCCGTTGGGTAGCCGTGCCCTCCCATGTCCATGCCTTTCGCCTGCCTCATTCCGATCCCCCTCATATTCCTGGGTAATGAAAATTGACACAATTACAGCGACCATTCATTAAGCGCTAACCATGTGCTAAGCATTCTGTCAATATCATACCCTTGAATCTTCCCACTATGTTAAATCCTCAGCACTAAATTGTCCCACCTTACAGTTGAGGTAGGTAACCACGCCTGGGCTAGATGAAGCACTGGTCCAAGGTCACACCCCAGAACATGTCCATGGTGGAAGCCTCATTCCCTCCCTCCAACACAGAGCTGGCAATTCACTGTGACAATCCTTGACACTGTAAATAAGGTTAACCAATTTGTGAAGAATCCTAGATACTCTAAGCTGTGTTCTTAATAGGAATATGCTTGAAATAGCACATGCAGGTAGAACAGTTCAAGTCCACAAAAATAGCTCCCCATTTGATTTCTTCCATAATCCAGGATTTAAAAGGTAAATGCCCTGAGAGAAGCAACTCTTCCCTCAAATGATCCCTGTGGGGGGGGGGGGGGGTGGCTTGAAGAGACCTTTGCCCTGCAAGGAATTTCTGATGGAAGGAACAGGTAGGAAGGCACTGAAGAATACACAGGGCTCCCTTGTCTATTAAGTTTACCTTATTTTTTTAAACCCCTAGCAAGAGACTTAAGGTTCAAACATTCATGACCCAATGCTGCAATAATTACATATCTATCTATGTTTTGATTTTGTTTTTGTTTGAGACAGAGTCTCACTCTGTTGCTGAGGCTGGAGTGCAGTGGCACAATCTCAGCTCACTGCAACCTCCACCTCACAGGCTCAAGTGATCCTCCCACCTCAGCCTCCTGAGTAGCTGGGACTACAGGCATATACCACCATGCCCAGCTAATTAAAAAAAAATTTTGTGTGTGGAGACAAGGTCTCACTATATTGTCCTAGCTGGTCTCAAACTCCTGGATTCAAGCAATCCTCCTGCCTTGGCCTCCCAAGGTGCTGGAATTATAGGTATAAACCACTATGCCAGCTCAATTATGTATCTATCTTAAAAGTAAATCAATAAAAAATGTGACCAAAGCTTGCAATTTCCCTACTTCTCCTATCCTTCATAACACAAATGTTTCTTAGCACCTAATACATGAGTATAGAGTAGATATAATAAATAATAAAACGGTCAAAGCATCCAGTAATGATTTAACATGGGTATCTCATAACATTACACCATGTATCTTAGTCATAATAAAATTTATTAAAAACCAAAATTAAAATTAAAAAATGGAATTGGGTGCATATAGACTTATTATAACACAAGCACTGACACACTCCATTGAGGACTTCAGAAACAAACATTTGTGCAATTCTTGCCTTTTCTAGCACTATTTGCCCCATTAATTCCTGCCTAGAATACAAGGTAAAAATCTGTGACCTTACAGATTTGTTTCAGGGTTAGTTTAAATCAAAATATACAAAGCCTCCCCTTTTCATCCAAGAGACTTCCCAATATGCCCAACACTGAGCCGCTGGGGTGGCAGAATAATAGAGGAATCCTTTAAAATGATTCCAAATGTGATCTGAACCTAAAAATTATAGGCACTAAAAAGCTATAAATCAGTGGGGCCATTTGAGGAGACAAACTAGAAAGCTTGCTGTGCAAGTGTTGCAGGTTGGGTTCACCTAGAAGCAGCCCCTGAACAAGTGGTTTTTTTTAAGTGCTTTCCTGGGAGAAAGCCATAAAGAGGGCAGGGAAGTAGATATGAATGAGCAGGCAGCTAAGAAATGATGCCATTTCAGGTGAAGTCCCAGCCTTGGCATAATCCAACAGGGACTCTCAGGGCATCGATTACACTGCAGACTTTGTCCTGCTTCTTGCACTAGCTACTGGCTGTCTGGCCTGGTGCGAATTTCAGGCATTTCTGGCTCTCCATACCGGGCAGGTGATTCCAGTGTGCAGAGGTGCTGGCTTGAGTAGCAGATCAGGTGGAAGCTGGGAGATGATTGCCCAGAGCTAGCAAAAAGGTCTGGGCAGGCACTGACAGCACTACTGCAGAGCTGCTTGATTTTTCAGTTAATTCTGAAAGTACCTCAACTCTGTACTGTGCATGTACACCAGAGTAGCTGAGGTTCCCCACCTGTCAGCCAGGGAGAGGTCACCCTCTGGAGCAGGGAGGAACTACTCTCTGGGTGGTAGAAACAGTTCCACACAGAACCCAGCTCACAGGCTGGATGTGCAGCCCTTTCTCCTCTCTGCCGCCTAAGCCAAGAAATAACTCCAACGACCTGGGTCAGTTCAGAGGGAACTGAAGAAAGCACATGTGAGGACACGCCTATAAGGTAATATCCTCAGGAACTCTTTCCTAATCCCAGGGCCTCTTAGCATTTCTTGGAGCCTGCCAGGAAGCAACTTTCCTCCATGCATCTAAATGCCGGCGGAACACATCTCAGCTACAGAAATGACTTATTCAAGGGCAATATGGCAGCATGGGATGATCTGCTCATCCAAGAAAACCGCCTTGATGTAAACTAAGACAGGGAGGAGTAAACTCCCAAAGCCTTCTGCTGGGAAATCCTCCCCTTTAATGGGAGGTGGGATGGGAGTGGGGGAAGAGCGAGGTGGGATGCGGTAACCAGACGTCATAGCATCTCACCTTTCACCATCAACTTCCATGACCACACGTCTGGGGTGGTCCTCGGCCCTCCCGGGGCCTCCGGGGGAGCTGTGACTCAGACCTCTGGTTTCTGCGCCTCCTCAGTCTCCAAACCCAACCTCGAGGTTCCCCCGCCGCCGCGCACCCCGGGAACCCCTTTTCATCAGGAGCTCTCACCCCAATATCATTCTCTCCCTCCTCATCCAACTCCTCCGAACCCAGGTCCGACATAGTCTCGTCCCAGCCTGGATCCCAGCCGCGGCTCCTCTAGCAGGTGGATATCAACTGCCGCGTCCCACGTCGCCATGGAGACACGGCCGGCCCCGCCTACCTCCCAGCCCAGAAAAAGGGGAGCGGGAACCTGCGAGGCGGACAGCGGGGAGGAGCCAGTGGCAGCCTTTGCTAGTGTCATAGCAACGGGAAGGGCACCTCGACAAATCGCCGCCCGGAAATAGGGAGGGGCGGGGCGGTAAGGACGAGGTGGAGCCAGCGGCAGCATTCAGGTGCCGTCATAGCAACAAGGGGCCGCCTCGGCCAATCACTGCTCGAGGAGAGAGGGGGGCGGGGATTGGGCGGGGCCTGGGAGGCCTCCGTGCCGGGCTGCCCACCAGGTCTCTAACCTGGACCTCGCCGTCGCTGGCCCGTGAAATCCATCCCTTTAGTCGTCTGTTCTGTGGCGGAACGAGGAGCTACCTGAGCCCTCAAGAGGAAGGGCGCAGGAAGCGCATCTAGGCCAACTCTCGAGAGGGTTTCACCCCTGCCCAGTGCGAACACTGCCCGCTCCCTTCCTCCCCCGGGACTCGCAGGCCCCCCTAGGGGTGCTTCACACCCCTACCTACCTTTCTAGGCTCTTCTGACCCTTCGGGGTTCGCGGCTCGCAGAGATGTGTCCGCCAAGGCCTCTTCTCTTGTCCATAAACAACTTCACTTTCAAGGAGGCAGCTCTGGCCTCTTAGCAGGTGCGGCCTACGCTGATGTCCGTCCGGGTTTGACATCCTTCCCAGACCCCGACATGAGTCCCAGCACCCTCGGGCCTCTGACTGTCAGGTGTCCCGTGCGGATCTCCACTCCTCTCCTCTCGCTCCTGGCTCCCCTTCACTTTCACACACATCTGCACAATTACAGGTGCACAGGCACATACATGTGCAGGCTTGGCAATCTGCTTCACCTGACGCACTCCGCCTGCCCAAGGTCCCTCACGATCTCCCTCCATTTGCTCTGCCACCATACCAGACTGCGAAGCTGTGTTATTTGCTGTTGCTGCAGGAGCTGGGGAGGATTGATTGAATAACCATAGGATCTAGTCTTGCTGGCAGAATACGAGAAGGCAAATCCACGCAGTGAATAAGCTGCTGATCTTTCAGAGCACACATCCCCTGAAGATTCTTCTCAAGGCTAATATGAAATGTTACAATCATAACCCATCATCAGGCCCAAATACATCACTTACTGAATAAACACACAAGTTACATGAAACACACAAGAATCCAAAATTATGTCGTTTTTTAGTTGCAAAAATAAAAATATTGTAAACACCACAATGTAACAGCTTTTCTTACACGGAAAAGTGGGGAGTTGGGGATAACACATGATTATTATTTTCTGCTCTACATATTGGCAGTTTCCCAGTTACTACAATTGAGCATGTCTTATTTTTATAATAAAATGCCAAAAGTATTTTAAATGTTAGAACTCTAGAATGGTAACATAATCAAGTATATGCAAATAAATATTTGGTTTTTTACATTAAAAATGTCAGAAATTCAACTTTCAAATTTGTCGTAACAATGACAGTTACCACTGTTAATACTAAGTTCTGACACTGTGTGTGGGCACTGTTTTCAAAGTTTTATATGAGTTATCTTATTAAATCCTCACTATCATTTCTCCATTGTACACCTAAGGAAAGGGAGTTACGGCAGGGTATAAACTAAAAATAGCCTCCTAAGCCCCATTACAGCCGACTGAATGGACCCCTTCTTGGCCAAGGGGGCTCCAGAAACCCTAAAAACTGAGCTCTCAGCCATGACGGGAAGGGAGGTCAGACACGCCTCACTAATACCCTTTTGCAGCTTAGACACAGCAACTAAGCAGCATTAATGTTAAAATAGAGATCAGAAGACGAACAGAATGGACTCTGCAGCAGTAAGACACCAACTTATAAACAGGACCTAAGGCTATGGCAGGCATGAGTTAAGTCACACACCCCTATACTTAAAAGAATAAACTATATTTTAACTGCCTGGAGAAGGTCTTATAATTCATGGTTTACATCCTGTACTTGAGTAAAGAATCTTACCGTGAATCTCAAATCTTATCAGGAGCTTCTCAGACTGTTGATGTACTAAATATGTAAACTACTGACATGAAAAGGATACTGATTTGTTTCTAAATCATGACGTTTCACTGATTGCCTTGTGCATATGCATGAAACATTCTAGCCTGTATGTTGTCATCTGTCACCAGAGATTGTAACCTCTATATCGTCCCCCAATGGAAAAAGACAACTCTAATATGAGGAGTCCCCTTCCCATGCCTCAACTTTCTTAGAAAAGCATGCCAACTTGTTACACACTTAGGAGCACACCCAACTTTGTTGGTGTGTCTTCCCCATTCCATCCTCAAACACAGTTTTCAAAAACCTTTGTCAGTTTCTGCCTCAGCGGCCTTAACTTTAGTAGACAGCAGTTAAGATCATTGCCCCATGGATTGTCTGAGCTCAGGAGTTCCAGACCAGCCTGGGCAACATGGTGAAACCCCATCTCTAAATCAGCCAGATGTGGTGGCAGACATCTGTAATCCCAGCTATGTGGGAGGCTGATGTATGAGAATTGCTTGAACCCGGAGGTTGCAGTGAGCAGGGACCGTGCCAGTGCACTCCAGCCTGGGCAACAAAGTGAAACTCTGTCTCAAAAAAAAAAAAAAAAAATCTTTGCCCAAGATTATACAGCCAGTGGAATTCAAATCCAGCCATCTGACCCAAGAGCAATTGATGCTCATCACTATACTGCCTCCCAGATCTGTGATTTAAAGGGATAACTACAGTTTTATGGCAGTGACTGTAAACCATCTACCAAGCAGAGGACCGCCGGTTCAAAGTGCCTTGAATTACAAACACCAGAGAGTGGCTTAAGCAAACCGCGTGGTTAACAAACCCTGTTCTGGATGGTATCTTTAGCAGGTAGACATCTAGCTATAGCTATTGAATCCTAAGGTTTACAATTTGATTTCTATCCCATACAAATTAGTCAGGGTCTTCCCTCCCGAATTGTTCAGTCAATCTACAGCAACTTCACTACACTGTGGTGTCAATTATTCAAATGATTGACACCAAAGGCAAGAAGGGGTGAACAACAAGATGGGCCTCCCAGCACCCCCTGCAGCAGCAATTAGACTGGATTCTAAATTCCTCCTTCCAGAAAGAAGCTGCTCCCCAGCTCAGATCCAGCCGAGAGCCACAGCCGCCGTGACGCAGTCGGAGCGCTGGGCACCTCTCTGCGCACCCAGGAAGCCCCAGGAAGACTTCATCAAGCCAAGTCAATGCCTCGCGCAGAGCCCCAGGATCCCTGACCCCAAACCCCACAGTGACCCAGAAATGCTTGGTGGTGCCAGAAGCAGCCCTTTCCAATTCTGAAGATCCTCAAAATGGTTCCTCCGCCCACCTTCCTCCTTTCCTGGGGCGTGGGAGTCGTGGGGAGATGAGAGGCAGAAAGATGAGTACATCATCCGGAGGTCTTTCCTCACTGGAAAATGGGAGGAAATCCTCTCCCACGGCTTAAAAACCAAATGGCGCTGCCCAGACTCCACTGGCAGGGGTCTCCCATCATCCCCCGCGAGGGCTTCCCATTATGCCCCGCGGGACTTTCCCATCATCCACCGAGGCTCTTCCCGCCCAGGCGGGAAGTTCGCGCAGGTGCCGCTGTGCAGGGAGGAGCTAGGGCAAGGCCCTCGGAGAGTGGAGACCAGCAGTGGCCACAGTTCCTCTGCACTTCGTTTCCTCAGTAAGAAATGATCTTCTTGTCCTTCTTAAGTATAAATGGAGAGATCCATTTCCTTTTACCTATTAACCCCTCCAGAAAGAAGAAAAACGGTCTCAGGCTGGCCGCGGTTGCTCTCTGCAGAGGGGCTGGTCAGGGTGCCTTCTGCTTCCTGCTGGGATGGCCCAGGCCGCGGAAACTGTTGAAACCACCCTGGGGCTGCCTTCTGTATTCTCCACAGCCTTCCAGGCCCACCTCCCAGCTGGAGGCCCTGCAGCTTGGCAGTTGTCATGGCGACGGAGCCCCTAAGTGTCTCTTCTGAGCTCTCCTGGGCAGTGTGGAGAAAAGGCCTTAAGAACTGGGGGGGCGGGGGGCGGGGGGCTGGGGGGGGAGGGCTTCAGTAAAATGCGAACAGATTTTTTTTAAGTTTTTAGGCACTGTTCAGATAAAAAGCAGGGACTTGCAACAAAATGAGTTCAGCCTCGTCTTAACTGTAGAACTACGAGTTTATTACAATAACTGTACTATGGTAAATTTACCAATTTCGTATATATGCATGTTTATAAACAAACATATTAGGGTATATAGATAGAAAAAGATCTATCTACATGTAGAATCAAAAACTTTTTAAAACAGTTTTGATAGTATCACACATTGCCATTTAGGGGATAGGGACAGACCCGGGATTGGAGCCCTAGCTCCATGTACTTTTTTCTGAAGTTAGTCTACTCATCTGTAAAACGGGTGGTTGTGAGTTCAAAATCAGATATTCATAATGAAAGTAGCACAGTGCCTAGTACACAGCAGCACTTAGTAAATGGGAGCTATTACTATTAATTGTACTCTTGTTAATCTTGTCATAGGTTAAGCATCTTTTTTCTATCAGTATGTTTGGGGGGAAATTTTAATTCAAGTTTATCTTAATCATTTTCAATCGTGTTTTTTTGTTGAAAAGAATCAAATTTCCAAGGATGATTCAGCCTGATAGTTGCTGGTTACAATCAGAAGTTAGTCTGGGATGAACAGATTCGTTTCAATGCTCATGTTTATTAGCAGTAATATACATTACAGTGGGGAGATACTGAAGCTTCTAGAGATATACAGACAGGTAGATTCTTAAGTGTAAGTAGGTATTTGAACTGTTTGTGGATTATGTCTTATAAAATTGGCAACCATCAAGGAGGAAAATGCCAGATATGCACACACCCATACCTGAGGTATATAGGTCAATGGAAGGCTATTGAAACACAGTTGTCAGGAGAGAAATGTAAATTATTTTTCACCCAGGAAGTGAGATTATTCAGTGATGCATCATAACCAGTAGGACATACCAGTGGACACCAGTGTGGAGACAAGAGATGTCAGAAAAATTGGGCAGACTTGATTTTCACGTTGGGTAGAAACTCAA